AATTAGCATATGCTATTGGGAGGCGGTGAGGGGGGGTCTCTGCCTTTCTGTTTCACGTTTGCTCGCAGACTACGAAACGTGGCCCGTGCTTCATTGGAGCGACTGGTCAATTGATTAAGATTGTAATTTTAGGTCGGTTATGAACTGATCAATTTCACTGCGCAACAGAGTTACAGCGAACATGTTTCGTCCACCCAGGTAAATTTCTATTTCTCGATCACATGCCCAGAGTCGTCGGTGTCTTGGCTTCGTCCTGGCAAACTGGAATCCTCTTCGGTGCTGTGTTTGGCGAGGTATATCGAGGTCGTGTTTCAAATCATGGTCAGCGGTTGCCCACGTGTTGACACGGATGCCTTGAAAACTCAAACGTCGGTTACCCTCGGTTCGAAGTTCGAGTTCGATCCGCGAATGTTTGGCCGCTGGCGACCGAGCTGTCATTTACAACTCTATGAAGCTTTCGACGAGAACAGTCCTTCCTGCAGTCATGCCAGACCTCCAAAAAGAGCGTGGGCGAAGCTTGCCCCGGCATTGTCGCTTGAGGAGCTCGCTGCCTACCGTGGTTGTTCGCCGTCGTTAATTCCAGTGCCTCCAGATTCAGGTAATTGCATCCCCAACTGAGTACGATTAGCGACGAATATCACTTAAGTCAGGAGCGGATTCGCTGACCGAAAGTAGTGAACCGGAAACTGTATAAAAACGTGATTTATTCACACTTAGCACAAACAAATAGGTCGATCTGCTGATTTATCAGTACCTCTCGAGTACCGGAGTGCCGGCTCGTCTCTCACTGGTCCTCATCAAGGTGAATAGGGTTGATGCTCAAAGTTCGTTCTATGATCGGCAGCGACTGTAATGTTTTGAGCAAAAAGGTGCGCTTTTGGTCCGTGCTGCTGGTTAAGTAGTTTACGGTAACGGACTTGATGAGGCTTGTCCAATCCGTACTTAGTTCATATTCTTATTCTTTGTCCAGGTTGACATTGTTGTAAGACTGGACAATTCACGCCTCTTTGATGCGATTGTCAGCCAATTCATTTCTTAAAGGACGCCCCTACAGCCTAACCATTGGGGAACGTGACCATTTTGCAACACGCAGCAGAGAGGTTACGCCCTCCCCCCAATAGTCAGATTGTATGGGCATCGTTAAAGAAAGAAACTGGCTAAACGGACGAATCAGATACGCCTTATTTATCTAGTCCTAGGAAAATGTAGGATGCAAAAGCACGCCGATCACCTCTCCCCATTGCAGCATTGCCTTTTTCATATGATTTTTTAATTCACTATCGATTTCCCGACAAGCATGAATGACGGAGCCAAAACACTTGAATTGTTGGACTTAAGACAACAGCTTAAAGGTGATCATATTTATATTCTAGAAAAAGGTATAGAATTTTTAATCATTACGGATGATGAACGAATACATGCATTTTGCTGCTTGAATATGTAGAACAGCTCTATATCTTTCAGCATCAGTGAACAAAAACCAGTCAAAGCTCAGAAGTGCGCGC